ATGAAACACTGTAATCATTTATTTAGAAGTATTTTACTCAAATATCAATAAATTATAAGCCTCAAGATTTTATCACCATGATTCAAATAAGAAGCATTCTGGATGTTAATGTTATTGTAAGTGCATTCTGATTATTAGCTTTCTTGGTCATTAAAGGAATGATCTACAGATTCATCATTTGGCATAGATTTAATATCTTAATTCTTTAAAGCTTTCTGGGAAGTCACTGAAAACTATGAAACTAAAGCTTTTAAATAGTGATCCTACTCTGTTGGTCAATCAATCTATCTCTCGCTCTCTCTCTCTCTCTCTCTCTCTCTATATATATATATATATATATATATATATATATATATATATATATATATATATATAAGGAAAAGGAAAAAACCTACTTTACTTTTAATTTGTCAAAAAGACAAAAATGGAGATATGAGCTTTTCTTCAGCATCAATATATTACTTATTATGTATATCGCTGTTGCCAGAAGAAAACCTTGTCTCCATTTTTTGACATTTTTCAATTTTTGACATAATTTGAAAGTGCCTGTTGCCCTTTACATTATGTGTACATTTCATAAAGAATGGACCAATTGAAACGGCTCTAAATGACTTGGAAAAAAGTCTGGTTCCACTGACTTACATTAAAAGTAACGTAGGTTTTTTTCCTTTTCCTGTAAAGTTGTCATTTGGAAGATACGAGGTTTTCTTCCGACAACAGCGATATATATATATATATATATAATATATATATATATATATATATATATATATATATACACAAGTTCAGTGAGAGCAGCAGGGACTGCATGTTTTGACTTCCTCCCATTTGCAGCCTCTTGTTTTCATACTGCTACATTACATCTTGCTTTGAGGGGAACTGGAGCTTTCTACTTTGCTGTTGCTTTTGTTAGTTTGTAGGTTGTTGCTTTATCCATACTTCTCCTGCAAGCAACGTAGCTTGCCGGCATTCTCTGCTGATGAAATTATTGAGGTTACTGATATTGCTGGCATCTGTAGTGTGTTTGGCTTGTAAATGATACGTCTGACAAAGACTTGATGTACTTCAGTGATAAACAAATTCACAGCATGGCAGTAGATGGACTTTTATTAAGACAGCCATCATTGAGAGCTGCCATTTAAAACCTTTATTTGAACAAGAGGACTATGATTGCAGAATCATGGCAACAGTGGCTGGGCTTCAAGCTGGATAGTTTAAAGGGTTAATCAATAAAATGTGTTAATGGTGTTATGTATTTGTTTACTGCTCAAAATATCTGTATCTGCAATCTAATTTAAAATCACACATTTGAATCACTGTTGTGTGTGGTTTAAATAGAAGTGAGCATCAATCAGAGCATATCTGTTCATTCTGAAAACTAGATTCATATTTGGTTATGCATCAATACTGAGCAAAACATAAGCTGGACCATGATTTCCTGTTGGCAGTCAACCTTCTGACCACAGAAACCTCCTTGAAGTGCTACAAACGGAGAGCCACAGGCTGACAGACGGACAGACAAGCAGGCTAAGAGGGAAAATTAAGACATGAAAACCTGCCTTTTGGACTTAGTCACAGAAGGGGAAGGTGAGCATTTGGGGGCATCTGTACAAGGGGGACGGGCATAAGGAGGGTGGAAATCAAAGAGGCTAAAGCTGATTTATCCTCTGTTAGGGCTCAAAGGGCTCCGAGGGGCATTGAACAGCCCTTCAAAAAGCAATAGCAACCACCTTTATATCCAGCCAGTGCCAGTCATCAGCTTTGCCTCTGAAGTAAAATCAATCTGTTTCATATCAGAGCACCAGGGGAGAGACAGCGAGAGAGAGAGAGAGAGAGAGAGAGAGAGAGAGAGAGTACGTGTATCAGAGCAAGGATAGAACAGTGTTCAATAAGCATATGTCATCTAGAGAGTCGTGAAGTAAAAATAAAAACATGGATGGTGCGTTTGAAACCTCATTCAAATTCTTTTTAATTTTCAACTTGCCATCCGCTTCCAACCACTGTGAATTGCTGGGCCGGTCAAATGAAAAGCACCCATTACTGAGAAAAACACTTATTTCGTATCGTTTTCCTCAGCAAAATTGTTTCCTCAGCCAAATAGCAGACAAACTGAATGTACCAACTGCATTAAGTGCATAGACATGATAATTGCACGCCACTGACAACAGTGGAATCAAAACCAGTCAAAGCGTCCTCATAAATTCAAGGTTGCAACCTGTCAACTTTCCGTGTACTTTTAATGATAACGCACCACCGTCTTAATTTATCTGGGCAGTGTGTCAACCAGATGACCCATCGAGGAGATCTTTATGCAAGTGAGCAGCAGAGACAACCCACTGTAATAAGGAAAAAAAAATTGAGAAAGACAATTTAATCACATTATCTTTGCAGTCTTAATAACTAGAGACAGATATTCCATGTGGACTAAGGTTTCTTATGGTTTAGATGGGGCCCTCTGAGAGGACATGATTGGACTTCTTTTTTTTCAAACAGGTGCAATGACCTTTAAACCACTTAATGAGATTATGAGAGTAATTAGAAGTGGAGCCACCTTGGGTTCCACCCGCCAAGCTTCCCCAACCCCAGAGAACAACTGCTGTCCATCCCTGGTGCCATCTCGCCATTACTGCAAGAAGTATAATTAAGTTCTTCTGCATGGATCCTCCACCACCTTGGGGAGTGGAGCAATATCCCCATGCAGTATGAACACATTAGCACTTGGTACCTCAACCAACCCCACTACACTCGCATCCAAGAGGATTCTGCAGGACAAGGCTGGGGATAGTTAGAAACCGGCCCAAACCGTTAACGTCACATTGGTGCTGGATTGCTCCTGAGGAGCTACTCTGACCTGTTCATTTAAGATGATGTGTAACTATTGGGTCTGGCCTAAGCACGCTCTTCATCTCCGGCAGGATCACCAGGAGTCAGGCAATAAGGGGGCCTGAGGACGGCCAAGGGGAGCCTGGGGAGTGCTAAAGCCGGCCACTTGCAGGGAAGTCCAAAGACAGCTGAGTGTCGTGGTTAATGCGAACACACACCTCCACAATGGCAAAATCAATGGAGCTTTATGGGGCATCAATCTCCACAGAGCAAGACCTGCTTGTATACTGCTGGGATGGACCATTTGGGGCCAAATTGGGAGCCTTTTCAGAGAAATACAGGAAGCTTTTCTTCCCTTAGAATGGTGGAACGGTCCGGAACATGTTGCTCGCTGCTATGTTCTTCTGATTCATCAGCAGAAAACTGGAAGTCTGCACAGTCTCAAGAGAACAAGTGAGGGCCGCAGAACACCACTTAAAGCAAGTCTCTAGCTGACACCTTGTCGCACCGGATAAATCCAACTAGAGCAGCACAATGTATAGTTTGGTGATCATTATTGCCATATTGGCCAAGACTACTAAAAAGTAGACCGCAGTGTGCAGTATATAAAGCCCTTGACCAAACCAGTAAATGCTTTAGCACATGAGGTGCACATAAATGTGAGCAAGGCAGCATGAATAAAGGCACTCAAAGCATCCTTAAAAGCAAAGCAAAATTTTGGTCAAAATAAGGCAGGGTAGTTATGTAATCAAATTAACGTTCTAACAGTATGAGTGTTAATGTGATACGGCTAAATGGCCTCAAATCCCAAATGAATATTTATTGTATTCTGGTATTTTTCTTGATGTTTTTACGTATCAAAGTAGAAAGAAAAAACCTTCTGAACTTGTGGTGGAAGGTATGCAACAATATCTTTATTTAATTTTGTTTAGTCTGTTGTTCATGAAATTCTGACCCAATGCAAAGAGTAATATGAGTTTTCAGATTATGCAATAATGCATCCTCATTCTAAAAGCAGTCTGTGGTGAAACAGTCCTTAGCTGTGTTCCAAAGCCTAGGCTGCAGCCGAGGTAGGCTGCATTCTCGGCAGCTACGTCATGGAAGGCTGTTCCAAAGTGAAGGATCCTTCGTATACAGCCTAGAAATGCAGCTTTCGAGGATGCAACTGATATATCCTTCCAGGCCTTTGGTCACCCACAGTTTGCTGAGCACAAACGACGCAAAAAAAGCCAGCATTACGAAAATGGCGGAAACTAAGCCGTTGGAGCAGAGCGTGTTTTAAAATATAAGTTGTTCACGTCCTTGTATTCGTCTTCATGACCTTATAGTGCAAAATGACTGATTAAAGCATTCGTCCACATATCATATTTTAATCAGAAGCATTTGCATATATGTAGTTTATCAACATAAGCTTGTTGGCGTATTAGCTACCATAGCAAGTTTCACGCCGCGATTTCAAGTATGGACTTGGGAGTGAACTGTTTGTTTTGATGTTTTGATGTGAACTCTTTTATATCAATAAAGTGAAAAAACTCAGTTTTCCACACTGAACTTTTTTCAGTATATCCCAGTAACAATATGCAGTGATGTAATATTGTATAGCCCCACTACCAAAACATGACACATGTGCACCATGTCAACATGCACCCAGATCCACATACAATAAAAACCAGATCACATGGACGAAATCAAGAGAGTGAATTAAGGGTGAGTAAATGAAAGTCTTGGCAAAGACCTGGCAATATAATTGATTGTTTGGCAAGCTGTGCATCCTTCTCCACCCAACCCCCACATCCCAATAGCGTTTACACCTCTTGTTTACAATACACCCCCTCCGCTTGACCAGACATCTAGTTGGGAGTTCGGGGCCCAGGGCTGCCGTCCCAATATCCCAGCTAATTACTTTTTAATTTACAGTGTGTCGTTAATGGGCTTGGCAGGGGGAGCAAGGTTAGACAGGCAGCAGAAGCCACTTCCTTTCCATTCAGTAGAAGCGCGTCCTGCTTAATTAAAATGAATACTCTGGACATCCATCAGACAGACACAGAGCGTGCGAGTGAGTGAGTGAGTGAGTGAGTGAGAGAGAACAAGGGAGAAAGAAAAGCAGAGAGAAGGGGAAAAATCAGCTAGTGCAAACACAGCAACATAAAAAGCATGAGAAAAGGGAAGACAACTACCTCCACGGCTCTCGCTGTCGGCCGGCTTCACCTGGATGGGGCGAGTCATCTGTGAAGGAAAAAGAAAAACAAGCAAGAAACACAGAGGTTAGTTCAGGCATTTGTTAGCAAAAGCGGATAACAGAATCCAAAGTGTCAAGCGATTCTCCATCGCCAAGACCACCTCAGGGCAGGACAGTTTTGTAGGCTCTACAGCAAACAGAGAAGAAGACCAAAGAAAACACAACAAAGAAGATGTACGCTGTCCAAAAGTTTGCTCTGTTTATACTGCCATGCGTGCTCAGGAGCAGTATGGCAGTAATGGTGAGGGTGAAGTGAAATGCAACAACAATAAAAGCGGAGGCCGCCTCAGGAGAGGGAGAGATCAATGCGGCCCTATTGATCCCTGGCCCTTAGGCTGTGGAGAGTGTCTGGCAGCGAAGGATTCTGTGGTTAGGAGGGCTCACAGTAATCCACTAGAACCTGATAAGAATGGCATTTGTTGGATTAGAAACCTCTGTCACGACAGTCTTTGTGTCCTATATTTTTCTCCCCAGTATTTCTATAGCTTGATCTCTTTTTTCATTATTCTTCACTAGATTTCTACTGCAAAAACCTACGCAAAATGAAGCAGCATTTTGACCCCTACATCCTTTGCTGAAGTTCTCAAAGGCCTCTATTTCAAGAGAAATTACTAAGTAAGCAGCCAAGAAGACTGACAAAAGATAGACAATCAAAAGCAAAAGCCTAAGTGAAAAGGAGCAAATACAATTTATTACTGAAATATTTAGGGATCTTTACTTCATGATAGATTCTATATGTCTGTATGTCTGCCCTGCGATGGACTGGCGACCTGTCCCGGGTGTTTTCTGTCTTCCACCCAGTAACCACTGGGATAGGTTCCAGCACCTCCCACGACTCAGAAGTATAAGCAGCTTAGATAATAGCTGCATCCCAATTCAGGGGCTGCATCCTTCAGAGGCTGCATTTGAAGTGGCACGACTACGCTGTCCCATTTCGAAGGCTCCTTCATATGCGGCCGAGAAATGTGTCCTTCTTTTCCATGGCAATGAAGGATCCAGTGGGTAGATCCTTCATCAGCCAACATATCCCAAGGTTCATTGCGTGCCAGCGAGGATTCGAGAACATGGTGGTGTCAGCAGAGGAGCGAACGGCAGCTGAGGAGTACAGTTTTAAATGGAAGCATTGGGTTTAAACTGAGTCGAATAGCTAATGACACAAATGTTAAAAAAGCCAAAGTGGTCTGAAACAAAACTTATGCTAACGTTTCGTTTTGTTTTAAAAAGCAAGGTCAGACAGAGAGAAGCGTCTCCAGCTCTAATAAAAAAAAATCAAAAAATCAAATTTTCTGGCTCCATCTTTAAAAAACGTTTAAAGAACTTGACAAGAGCGGCGTTTTGTGACGCAACGGTAAGCGTGAAAACAGCGTTGCTGTGCAGGAAATCTGCTGTAGGACAGACCGTCTCATTTCAGTTCAGCCTTCGCGGGTCTACACAGGCTTCAAAAGGACACGCCTTCGTAGACTGCGTCCTTTGAAGGATGCAGCCCCTGAATTGGAACACACCTACAGTGTGTGTGTGTGTGTGTGTGTGTGTGTGTGTGTGTGTGTGTGTTTGTGTGTGTGGATAATTTATGATAAATAAATATAAATGAATATTCAAAAATGTCTAAAGACTAAACAAAGACCCAAGAATACTGAAAACTAAAAGACTGTCACAGAGAGTGCTCAATAGCAAAGCCTGACTTAAAAAGACTCTTAATTAGCTCCAAAGGAAAGCTGCTAGTGCTAAAAGAATAAAAGATGCCTGAACTACACTGATGAACACCATCATTTAGAATAATTCACTCCAAAGTCATCACAACGCTGAAGTTTAAAGATGACTAATTTCAATACTTGAAAAGAAATGAGAGAGTCCGTCTCGTACCATTTACGCTAATCCTCCATTGACTCGGGAGCTTTTAATCGATCCATAACAAATTGCTAATAGCAGCACAGCAGGCTGAATTTTGATGAAGAAGAGCGAGGATTTGTAGACTCATGCCAAGGTTTCTGAATCCTCGGCTATCCGAAACCTCTTTTTTATTACCGCGGCAACAGCTTCGCTCCCACACGGATCCCAACTGAAAGAAGCCCCTGAAAGCCCCTGAAAAATGTTTGAGAGAGTCCAGGATCAACATTTTTTCTCTCCATCCAACATATTTTCTTTTACTGTCCAACTCTGGAGGCGAGCAGAAAAAGGTCAGTTTTAAAGACAGGCCAGTCTCATAAAAGCATGACTTGTTCAAGGAGAAACACCATAATGGGATTTTAAAACGGCTTAATAACATGCTGATATATGGGGGGAGAGGGCCAGGCCGGATTCATTAAGTGCTAAACGTATCCATTTTCACCTTGAGGAACTGAATAACCTTCCTCTCAGGAATTATTCCATAAATTTATCCATCGTAAATAATAACTAGCTGGGGCTAAGCCTGCTGGGGAGAGGGGGGGGAAGGGGAAGACGTTAGGCTGTCCCGGGTCTGAGTTCAGGAGCACTGGCTCTTTGTTTTGTGCTTAATGTAGCTAGCAGCTAGCATCCAATTAAAAAAAATGTATCTACAGGTTGTGATTCAACCACATGGACTTTGGATTGGCAGAATCATTCATTTAATAATTCATACAATTATATTCAAGTATGCATTTATTTAAAAAAAAATTTGGGCTAATTTCAAAAGTACACATTCTAGCATATAAAAACTGTTACCAGTGTGGAAACTTCAGGGCCTAATGAGTTCTATGAAACAAAAAAATACATGTCTGTAAATTTTAGTTCACCTTTATTTAATATAATCATCAAACTATTGTTGTATTTAAACTCTGCACATATTGTAGGGCTATTCTTATTTCATCAACACATTTTGGTGGGAAACAATAGTTTTAAATTCTTCAAATGATCAACAAAAAACTGTATTTACTCCGCAGTATCTAGGAACGTCTAGGTAACCAAGTGAGCTCTCCCACTGGTTAGGACTTCAGGAGCTGAACTGGAGGCCTAACATGTCAGATTAACCACCAACATAACTACAAATTTAAATTAAAAGAAATTAACTAATTTTATTAAACAAACTATTTTATTCAACTCACACAATTACACAGATTTTTGCATTTAATTTAAAACCAACAAGAACCTGCACTGTAAAAAATGGCTCATCAATTCAACCTTAAAAAAATTACTTCATGTGGTAACAAGTTAATTAGTAAACTAAAAAACTAAAAGTAAACTAGTTTTATTCAAGCTAAATGAATACTTTGAATGAAGATTATTTCAATCAATGTCAATTTTAGTTGAATAAAACTAATTCAGTTGCTTACAGAAGTCCGGAAAGGCCATGAGCTGTTGCTATAATTTTCTCGATTGTTATCTTGAGATAATAAGATAAGTACTTTGTTATATCAAGATAACAATTTTGTTACCTTGAGATAACAAGATAAATAACTTGTTATCTCAAGATAACAACTTTTGTTATCTTGAGATAAAAAGATAAGTAACTTTTTATTTCAAGATAATAATTTTGTTATCTTAAGATAACAAGATAATTAGCTTGTTATCTCAAAATAACAATCCAGAAAATTATAACTACCTCATGGCCTCTCCGGACCTGTGTAAATGGTCATTAGCTTGCTAACGTACTACTAGAATCCCATAGATGTGCTAGCAGAAATCTGCTCTATCTTGGAGCTGTTTTTCTCATGTTTGGACAAATTTCAACCTGAACTGAAGGCCTAGCTCTAGTCACGGTTCTCCATTATTTTTTTTCCTGTTGTATAAATGGTATGTTACTGTATTCTATATAAATTGCATTATTTAAAATCTCATACAAAAGTAATTAAATCGACTGGAATCACTGTGAAATCTGATATTTCACAGTGCACTGAATCATTTCCTAAACAATCATAATTCAAATCAATGGACCACTCTGAGATAAGTGAATTATTATTATTTTTTTTTATCCCTGCTTTTCTTTTTTTTCTTAGGTGGGCTGTTTACTCTCCACACTCCATCTCAGGAACCACTATACATAAAAATAAATAAATAAATAAATAAATAAACCATCTCCAGCTCTTCAGGAAACATTCCCATCTCCAGCAAATCACTTGACATCAAACACAAACATGGTGCCGGTGAAGTGCCTGACATCAGACGGAATAGCTGCATTCATCTATGCATGGCAATACGCATGCAACACTGCAAACGCAACACGCTGTAATAGAGGTTATGTCTGTTGCTGTGGCTTCCTCCATTTCTCCAGCTGCCTCATCGACTTCATCACGAAGATGGATTCCAGAAACATCGGTGTTATTCGTGAGGTTTATGGATGCAGGTGAATGTAGTAACTGTCCAGGCCGTAAAACGCTGCTGTTGGATGTTTGTTTGCAAGGAGGGCAATAAGTGGCACCCCATCCTCATGTGCAGATTCGGCTCACAATTTTCTCACCTCTAATGTCATGCGTATACCAATCCTGATCTTGAACTAGGTCAGAAATCACCTAATTTCCAGTAAAAATGGCCAATAAGTGCAATTTATTCCTTTTATTGGAGATATTTCTGAGAATATTAGATCATCCAAAAGCATAAGGAAAGGGCAAGTCAAAGGAAAAGGAGTGAAAAAACAGGGGTTTCCAAAATTAGAGTTAGAAACATTACTAAAACGGGGCTCCTAACAACCATGCAAGACCTGGTCAACCATAAAAACTGTCCCTACTAGATAAACAGCAATTAAAGCTTTCATCTTTGAGAGGAGAAAATCAAACACCACTCAGATCTGCTTCAGATCTGAAACAATCCACAGGTGTTTCTGTTCATCCCTCCACTGTGAGAAGACAACTCAACACTATGGGTCTGAAAGGATGTGTAGCTGCCAAGAAGCCCTCACTGAGAAAAGGAAACAGACAAAAAGCAAAAAAGAAGAACATTTACAAATCAAACAAAGAAACAAAGAAGCTGCTGGTGTTCTCAGAACAATAGACTGACCACCCAGACAGAAAATGCAACCAGCTTCTAAGACTGA